ACTCTAAGATGACTAGGTCATCCCCCTCCTATTGCTTGTATTGCCTATGTTGCAATCCCTCCCTATGACGCAGGTTGTTGTGAATTGTATTGCCCCTCTCTGTGATGCATGATGCTGTGATGTCTCCCCCTAAAGTAATATGATGCGTGGTTAGCAATAAATAAGGAGGCTCCCTGGTTCCCAAGAGGGTGGCTGGCCGAGGGTGCCTGGCCGAAGGTAGCTGGAAAAGGTGGCTAAGCAGGACGAAGCAGCGGCTTCTTCTCTGACTGCTAAGCCCCCTCCACGAGGACCATCAAGCCTAGCAGAGGTGAACTATGCTACCATGAATTGTGTCTGACTCCATTACTTGACTCCATCCTTTAACTCTCATGCTCTCTATGACTTTACTATAATCTCTACTTATTATCGCTGTACAATTGCGCCTACCGAACCTGTGATGTTTTGTGGGGTTCCCTCTTCCCTTTCACCCCACACTATAGGGACGCCATGAGTTGGAATCAACTCGATGGCTGTGAGCTTGTGGTTTATGGAGGCACTAGAGAGCAAGCCGAGAATAAAAGAGGCAAGTGGCCTTGCTTTCATGAAGCAAATATTCTAGTGGAGGGCAAAAAGGCAACCGACCTAATTAATGCACTACGTAGTGTGTTAGGAAGTGCTAAGTGCTAAGGAGAGAGACAAAGCAGGGTAAAGGGGTGAGGGAGTCCAGGAGGTGGGAACAGCTTGCGGCTTTAAATAGAATGGGCTCAGCAGGCAGGCTTCCCTTAGAAGCCCGAGGAAGGCACAGAACCATACCACGGGGGTGGAAGGAGAAGCGTGTTCCAGGCATTGGGCAGAGCAAGCGCACTGGCTTTGAGGTGGGAGAGCGACTGCCATGTGGAGAAATGAACAAAGTAGTGAGGGTGGCTGGACATTGGGGGGGGCGCCGGAGATGAGACGGGGAAGCAGCAGTGGGGAGCAAAGCCTGGGTGGGATCTCCGGGCTCTTGTCTAGACTGTGACTTTCCCTGAGCCATAGTGAGAGGCCTTCGGTAGGTCTCGGCAGATGCATGATACGATCTGACTTAATATTTTCAAGTCTCATCTGGGAGTCGGCTATCGGAAGATGCAGGCCAGGGGTGGAAGCAGGGAAGCAAATGAGGAGCCTTTTGCAAAATTCCAGACAGAAGAGAACGGTGGCTTACATCAGGGTCCTTATCAGTGAACGTGGTGAGAAGTCAGATCCTAGACTGATTTTGCAGGTTCTCTAGCATGATTACGTCCCCATTTGGGGCCATTATTTAGGAAGAGCAGCCTTGCTATTTTTTTTGTTTGTTTGTTTTTTGGGGTGGATGGGTGGGTTTTTTAAGATCCCAGGGCTGCAGCTCTCAAATGGTGCCCTGGGGAACACTGCTGGTTCTGAGCAGGTCTGAGTGGCTTGCTACCAAAAGCCCTGACAGGGGACAGATGGGTGTAGCTTCATGCCCTACAGCCCCGTTTTACAGGCCGACATACTTTATAACATCAGGTGAGAGAGACTTTTTTAAACAAGACTAGAAGTCACAATACCCTGGAGGAAAAGGTCATCTATACAAATTAAACAATGTATGTGAGAAAAAATATCATTTATAAACATTTAAGTGGAGAAACTCAAAGGCACACTAGGAAGCTGGAAAAATCTTTGTAATACAAATAACTGAAGTTTATGATCCCAAATATAAAAAGGCTCTTCTAACTGCTTTGAATGGCATCACGTTAGACGGTGCTGGACTGAGTGGGAGAAACCGTGTCGCAAAATTCAAAATCATGCCAATGACCAGACTTATTACTGGTCTGATGGTGACTGGTGGATTCCCCAAAACTCTGGTCCTGCGACACCCATCAAACCTGGAACTTCATCCAAACTTGGAGATTAATGTTCAGTGCACCAACAGACTGGCTAATGAAGTGAATGTTTTGAATGATGAAAACGCTGCTACTAAAAAGCAAGAGGGCAGAATTTCATCGAAGAGTGGCTCCTCTAAGCAGCAGCAGAAGGATGCACCCACACAGGGAACTCAAGAAGGAAGGGGGAAGGGTGACCGCTACACTGCACCTACGGCACGACAGAGCGACCATCAACGTCACGTGGAAAACGAATTTGCTCGGTAAACTTTCACTCAAACCACAGTAAAAAAAGGAAAAGAAAAAGAAGATAAATCATATCGTTCAGACTCTTGTGGTTGTTGAATTTCCCTCCACTCTCATGGGTCCACCGACCGGCTTTGCGACACTAGGGTGCCTGAGGGCATTCTGGAAACAGAGCTGTGTAATACAACTGCTCGAAGTAATTCTTTCATAAAACCGATAGGGCAAAATTATCCCTATGTATGCCCCAAAAGGGGTGTGGGGGTGTGGTGGAGGGGTTTGAGTTCTTCTAGATGTATGAAACAGTCAAGTAGAAAAGTGGATGAAGGACATCTTCCAAACAAGGCTCACCCTGAGCCTCCTTCACTGACGGCTGTGATGGGCGGCCAGCATCATAGATACAGAAATGACTGTCACCACCATTACTGTCATCCCATCGGCACCGCCACCGGCAAGGACATCACCCTCACCAAGTCAGTCAGACGAGTCAACCCTGGATGTCACTTCCAGTACAGCGGCCTCTGAAGAGCGTCTTCTCTGGGAGGGATCAAGTCTTTCTTACCTTTTCATGATTTTCGATTAGGATCTCAATAACGATGTTCTGGAATTTGATATCCATGATGGCTGCTACCGTTTCTTCCTGAGGCCGCAGCAGGGTGGGTCCGAACACCACCCCCAGGTTGGCCACCGTCATCAAATTCTGCTTGTGGTTGTTAGCAACACTGGGGGGAAGGAAAAGAGAGGGCACATGTGAGGGAAACTGATGATGTGCAGACAGCTAACTTCCCTGAACCCCAGCTTTCACGCCCGAAGGTCAAAGGAGACTTTTCCACTCAGTCGTCGACCGAAGTTCCTGGAACCATCAGTGTTCAAATGGTTTTATTGTTTTAGGATATGTCCACCTTTATTGTATCTATTATACCTAAAATGACCCATCTTCAAACCAAAGGAACTACCTTCCAAATTATGTACCTTTGCACCAGTGAGTCCCTGTTTCGCAAGTATCAAAACCAGAAAACCAAGCTGTCTCCCATCAAGACCATCCCAATTCAGTGATTCACACTAGCATTGCCAGTTGTATCTTTCTGAGAGCAAATAGCTTTATCTTTCTCCTAATCTAGTGGCTGGTGGGTTTGAGCCACCAACCTTGTGGCGAGCAGTCCCACACTTATCTGACAGGTCACTTCTAATCCTTTAGTTATAATTTTTGCACTTGGTTGCTACCTCAACCACAGTCATGCCTAACATTTCCTCTGGTGAGAATATAGAAATTCTCGACAGCTTTTGTACATTGGCAAGCACAGACACAAGAGCTTTAACTTTTACACGGGTAGATATGAATATTTAAAGCCAAGTCAGGAAGTTAGCACTTTAGACTCAAGACTTTATCACATTAAACTGAAACATGTGTCTCCCACCCGGGGCATTGCGTGCCACAACGCGGCATAAAAACCCACGCCGGCATCATCAGAACAAAAAATCTTACCATAGTGAATGAGGGGGGGAGTGCGAAGTGGAGACCCAAAGCCCATTAGTAGGCCACTGGAGATCCCCTTGCAGAGGGGTCTCGGGGAGGAGACGAGCCAGTCAGGGTGCGATGTAACAACGATGAATAATATAACTTCCCTCTAGTTCCTAAATGTTTCCTCCCCGCTCCCACTACCATGACTCGAATTCGACCTTGCAAGTCTGGCTAGACCAGAGGATGTACACTGGTACGGATAGGAACTGAAAATCCAGGGAATCCAGGACAGATGATCCCTACAGGACCAGTGGTGTGAGTGGCGAAACAGGGAGGGTAGAGGGAGAGTGGGGAGGAAAGAGGGAACCGATTACAAGGAACTATATGTGACCTCCTCCCTGGGGGACGGACAACAGAAAAGTGGGTGAAGGGAGACGTCGGACAGGGCAAGATATGATAAAATACCCATTTATAAACTATCAAGGGCTCATGAGGGAGGGGGGAGCGGGGAGGGAGGGGAAAAATGAGGACCTAATGCTGGGGGTTTAAGTGGAGAGAAAATGTTTTGAGAATGATGAGGGCAATGAATGTACAAATGCGCTTTGCACAATTGATGTGTGTATGGATTGTGATAAGAGTTGTATGAGCCCCTAATAAAGTGATTTAAAAAACAACAAAACAAACCCACGCTGGCATATCCATGTTGATGGCTGTGCTTACGCTGTCACTTGAACTGTGACTCCAGGAATACCACCAGCAGCAGTCACTGAGGCTGAGTGACCTGCTGAATACAGATGTATAATTCTGGGGAAGCAATTAGTTAAAACGTTTTTCTTAACCCCAAGTCCCAGCCCCAGGGACCTAGCTATAAACCTCAACTGTTCAACAGCTGGCCCTGCATATAAACATTTACAAATTATCTAAAGGAAACAACAACAACAACAAATGGTTAAGTTACGGCCACTCTGAAGAAAAACTCTCACATCACCTGTCAGAAGAAGGAAGCCATTCATTATTAGCCCAAAGCTACAGAGAAAGCGGGCAGGGGCGGGCCGTTTGCAGAGACCCGCCTCCCTAGCGTGCAGGGCTATTTATACTGGGCATGTTTTCACAGTCTTCTATAAATGCCCACACTGTTTTCTTGCATGCCACTGTTCTGTGGGAGGAGAAGTCCTACTGCCTTCCATGCCAAAACACGTTATTGAAAGACGGCATCGACCAGTTTTTACCAGCAGATGCGTATTTTTCTAAAGTTTTCTAGGGCTAAGAGTTTAATTTGATAAAAACTTCCTCTCCTGGAAGGGCAGGGTGCGGTTAGGCTCACGTAATTTTAGCAGTGGCCCAGGCCAATCAGGGAGAGCAGCAGCAGCAGCCTCTCACTTTTCCGCAACGCTAGCTCTATCTCCTGTTCCCCGTCCATCCCTGAGCAGCAACACGTCTGCAGTAGAACGCCGCCCAGGGGGTTCCCGTCTGGCGACTTGGACAGCCTCGGGTTCTGCCCACCAGCAAGTATGCATATTTATAGGTTGCCGGCAGCATTGGCTCCTGGGTGCGGGAAGTGAATTCCATGCCCTCTGCTTCTCTGCCCACATGGGCTAAGTCAGTAGACTGGGCCCTCTTGTTACAAAAGTCCCTTGTGCAAATGAATCAACAAGCTATTTCTGTATGAGCCCAAACAAATCAAAACCACTGCCATGGAGTTGCTTCTGACACACAGTGACCCTCTAGGACAGGACAGAACTGTCCCGTCGGCTTTCCATGGCAGCCGGTCTAGGGAGGGGATTGCCACCGCTGAAGGGCTGGCGGGTTCTAGTCAATCTGGTTCGCCACCGAGCGCTTTAACCGCTGTGCCACGGGGCTCCTTTCAGGTGTGAAAGCACTTGTAAATGGCAGAACAACACGAAAAGATACAGGCTGGATGATGTTCGGTTTTCACTCTCATGCCTCACAGTGCTAACACCAAAAACAGAAGCAAGGGACCTGCTGCGGGGCTGATTCCGAATCAGGGCAGCTCTAACAGGACAGAGCAGAACTCCTGAGAGTTTCCCAGGCGGTCAGTCTTTACCGCAAACTGCCACAGCTGTCTTCCAGGAACGGCTCACAGCCTGGAACTGCCAAATGCTTAGCCCACTGTGCTAATAAGTAAGGCGATACCCGGCTGAAGCACGATCCCGGAGTTCGGCTTCGTTCTGCCCGCGCCCCACCAGTTCTTGCCTGAACCGCTGAGCCCACGAGGCCTTCCGTCTGCTGAAAACTACAACAGCCCTGCCACTTCTCAGCTCTTGGGCGAGAACACGGGGACATGCTACAGGTCCAGTTTTCTACAACGTTGCTTATAGACCTTTAGTGGGCCCCAGGACTTTCCAAAGAAAGCCTACCCTTCCAAAGTAACACACCTTATTCCGACCTCACCTCTAAGTCCTCGCCTGCGCCTGTCAGCTTGCGGTTGTTAGCAAGTGACTCAGGCTGTCTGGGAGATGGGCTCCCCATAGCTGAAGAAAGGCAGGGGAGGGGTAGAAGTCACTGATGCCACCAGGTTGCTGGGCCGATTCCATGTGGCTGCATTGCCCAGAAAGTGCCGGGATGACCGCGGTCAGGATGGGGTGACTTCCTATCTTCTTTCTACTTGCATTCGCCCGTTTGCCTTTGCCACGCCACCCCCCTCCATTTAAGAATGGCTGACTTTCTTCCTCTGCTTGCCACACTGGTGACTTAGTTCTATCGGCTTTCTGCAGCCCCCCGTCCTCATGCTCTCTTGGCCGCTCATCCTTCCCCAGTCCCTCCCCACTCGTGGAGGCAGGGGGCCTCTCACATAGTACAGTGTGAGGTTGCCTCTCCCACCGCCCAAGGGCAGGGACTGTGCTCTCCTCCTTGGCACCACCGGGGACCACCAGAGCTGAGACCGATGCTGGGCACGCAAGCAGCATGAGGAACGGTCACTGAGGTGGTAGGGGATGATGGAGCTTCTGTGTAGACACAACACAATTATCCTCACACCAGCTACTTCCTCATAAAACCTCAAGCTATTATTGATGTCCTTTGGGTGGTGGGGGGCTGTGTCTCAACTCTTGTTGCCCCAACCACCCTTTTCAATGTCTGGAGCTCGGCTCCCGATTCTGATTTAATTAATGAGCAATAATTGTTCTTATTTGTAGGCCCCGGTGCCAGAAGGCATTTGGGAAAATGTACGGTAATTCTAGATCAGCAACTCGGAATATAAATAGGGTTGAGGCTACCTAAACATAATTCATTTCCCTTTTAATGATACGTTTGTTTTAGAACCTTAAAAACACATTGCTCTAACTCTTCTGGAACTTTTCTGGGAAGAAAGAGAAGCCATGGCGCCTTTCATTACTAACTACCATTATCTTTTGGCACACTGAAGTAATAAATTGATCTGCCACTTGATTATTGCTGCTCACAACTTGGTAGGCTTTGTTCATTACTTTGGAATGAATTATTAATGGCTTGCGCTCTCCATGTATCCCGGAGAGAACGGCCCAGTCCTCAGCCTCTGCTGGCATCAGCTATCCATCACAGCTTGGCGGAACCTGAGGCGGGTGGGCAGCAGGTTGGCAGAGCTCGGGGAAGTTCGCTGCAGCCGCTGGCGCAGGGCTCATCCGTTAGCGAGCTCTGGAAAACACAAGTGCCCGCTTCCTGTTGTGGTACTGGAGTGCTTGAGGTCTTCCTCACGTGATCCAGGAAGTCTTGTTGGGTCTTGCCTTTCAATCCCCACACTGACGTTTTTTTGTGCACAGCACACCCTATGGAAGGAGCCTTGCCACAGGCCTTTCAGGCTCCTGTGTCCACGTGGAATGATCGGAGCCATCTCTGGAGAGAACTGACAATTCGATAAGCTTTTCAGAGGATTGTAGGACACAATTCCCTAGGATAATTCCATGGGGAGGCACATGGCTCCTTTTGTGGCCTTTGGCATTTACTGAGCAGCAGCACTGAGACACTGGATCTCCTGTGGGGCATGCCTTCAGGGCAGTTGCCAGGAGATTTACAGCCCTGTGTCCTACAGTTGAGGAAGCCTGATGGCATAGTGGTTACAAGTTGGGCTACTAACCACGAGGTCAGCAGCTTGAAACCACTAGCCACTCCACAGGAGAAAGATGAGGCTTTCTAATCCCATAAAATTACAGTCTCAGAAACCCACAGGGGCAATTCTACCCCAGCCTGCAGGGTCTCCAGAAGTCAGAACTGACTTGGTAGCAGTGAGCTTGGTTTGGGGTTTGGTCCTACAGTTTCCTTACT